TGTTTAGAATACATATTGGCTCTCAAGAAGACAGGGCTATACCTCAGTTTGCTCAAGCTACATCTGGTGGCTGTAGTGGCCACCATCAACAGGTAGAGGGATACTCAGTTTTCTCACACCCAACTACAAAGAGATTCCTTAAGGGCATAACAAACCTCTTTCCCCACCCAGATGCCCTACTCCAACATGGAACCTAAAACTAGTTTTAAAGAGCCAGACTAGATCACCCTTTGAACCAATGGCTACTTGTTTTCTTACACACCTGTCAACGAAGATAGCATTTCTGGTGGCCATCTCGGTGAGGAGAATAGGGGAAATAGCAGCACTTATGGCACACCCTGCTTTACAGTATTCTTTCACAACAAGGTTACTATCTGGCTACACCCAAAGTTTATTCCTAAAGTGGCCTCATCTTTTCACATGAACCAACCAAATCCCCTCCCAACTAAGCCTCACCATGTTAACAGAGAGGCCATACTGCACATGCTAGATGTTAGGAGAGCCCTAGCCTTCTACTTGGACAGGACAAAGACTTCTAGGAAATCTCCTAAGCTCTTCCTTTCCATTGCAGAAAGGTCTAAAGGCACAGCAATATCAGCCCAGAGACTCTCCAAATGGGTCTTGAACTGTATTAAGCACTGTGTTCATGTTCGCAATATAGTACCTTTACCTGGAATTCGCACACACTCCACAAGGTTAGTTTGCTCCTTTGTCGCCTTCTCAGGAATGTCCCTGTCTTGGAAATCTGCAGAACAGCCATCTTGGGCATTTGCACATACCCTCACAGAACCCTATGCCATCACTGGAGACTATGCTTCCAATGCTAGTTTCAGCTCTGCGGTATCATCATCCATAACAGACTTGACTCCAAAGCCCCAACCTCCCATTAGGGATACTGCTCCGGAGTCACCTATAGTGGAGTACCCATAGGAACACTACTCAAAGAAGAAGAGGAAGTTACTCACCTTGTGCAGTAGTGATGGTTCCTTGAGATGGGTGTCCCTATAGGTGCTCCATAACCTGCCCTCCCTTCTGTTTCAAAGTTATTGTTAGGGACTCTGTGGTAGAGAAGGATCTGAAGGTGGTTCACTTGCACAGCACTAATTAGCCTCAAGGCAGAGCATGAGAAAGGGAGAGTGCATGTGCAGGCTGAACAGACACTGCTACCAAAGAGCTCTGATCAGAAGCACAGGAATGCACATGCATCTACAGTGGAGCACCTATAGAGACGCTCATCTCAAAGAACCATTGTTACTGCACAGTGTGAGTAACTTCCTCTTAATCAACACATAAAAGCTCCCTGTATTTTTGCTTTCCAGCTGCAGATGAAATTCTTAAAGGAATAGACTTTCATTTTCTCAATTGAAAAGACTGCAAAGTAAACTTTCAAACATGAAAGGGCAATTGAGAAACTCTTGGCCTGAGGTATTTTTGTTACACAGTTGGAAGAAAGTTTTTGTTTGAGATTTTGAGCTAATTAAATATTTTTCCTCCCAGTCATACAGTAACTGCTTTTAAGTTTAGCTGTAAAATGCATTAGTTTCTGCTTCAGACTGACTTGGCATGGCAAAAGTAGCTTGGTTCAAAACCAAGCTGATGTGTAGAAGTTCAGTCCTTTAGCACCAAGAGGTCTGCAGTAGTTAGTGTTGTCAGGATATTCAGAATCCAGCATTTCAATTTCCAGAGGTCAGGAAGGAGGTCTGCATAGCATTAAAGCAGATTTACTTTTCATCCAAGGAGCTAAAATACACAGTCAAAGTTGGCCAGTAGTCATGTTGATTTTTTTTATTTTTTATTTTTTTTAAGTTGGAGTAGATAGGAATTTGACTGTCTTGACTCAGGCTTGGATCCTCCTCCACCGAGGGGCCTGGCATTCTGGATCCAAGCTATGGGTTAGCACGATTTGCTTGTAGACAAAAGGGGGCGGGTAGGCTGGAGCCTGAGTTCAAACTCAGGGTTCAAGCCCTATTTCTTTGCAGTGTGGATGCATCCCCACTGGACTCATGCTCTTGGAGTCTGCCAGAAGTAATCCCACACACTGACTTTTTGTACTCTGGACAGTCAAGTTTTCCCACACTGCACCATGAACAAAGGGCTATAGTGGTCACATTTTGGGAGGCCATTAGGAAGTCTGGGCTATGAGGGTTAGATTTGGGCCCACATAATGCAGTATAGATGCTGGAGACCCAGGTTGGGACCCAGGCTTCAACAATTCATGGCCTGGGGTTACTAATGAGTGTAGATGCTCAAGCCCTAGGTTATCAAACGCAGTGTCTGTTAACTTGAGTTCTGCTAATCCTGGACACACATTGCAGTATAGACATACCTTAAAGGACTGCCCAGGCTTTCCTTGGTTTATAAATAGTTCTATAAATATTGTGCAGAGTGGAATGTAGGCTGCCAAATCGTACAAGTTCTCTGTCTCGCACGCGTACACACACACACACACACAAAATATTGCAAAACCCTCATTTTCTAAGCAGTAAAAAGTTCTTCTGGTGTATCATAGTTTGCCATGAAAAATCTGACACAGTAAGATCTGTTCACCATAAAATAGACAGGAAGCTAAAAGTGCTTTTTCTATGAATTGTGCAATTAATAAATAAAATGCATTGAAGGAATTGGATTTCTGGTACAGTCCCTCAAGTCACACTAACTAGAAAAAAGCATGGTCCGTATTTAACTCACCCTATTGTACATGCATATTATTCCACATCTCCAATGGGCAAAGGATATCTTTGAAAATATTTCAGAATCTATAGCTGTTCTGTCACTCCCCAATTATTTGTCTTTGAATAGTACACTGAGAGGCTGAGTTGAAGCTTGGCTTGGGTCTGCATTAGAGGTGGCTGGAGGACAAAAATTCCATGACAACTTCTGTGGTTTTGAAATTTTGTTTTCGTTCCACATTCGAACAAAATCAAAACTGTTCAAATGTTTTTGCAGAACACAGAATTGTGTTGAAATGTCCATTTTCTGTTTGAAAGATCAAGTTTTCAATTTAGGTCTCTTTTTCTCTGGTCAGAAGTGACCAGAGATGCCTGGACCTCAGAAACCTTCCTGTCAAAAGCATTGTTGAAATCAACATGTCTACCCGATACGTTTTGGCTTTGATGAAACAGTGTATTCTCATGAGAACACATGTAGCTAAAATGCAGTGTAATTGTTTTGACTAAGAGAGATCCTTAAGAAAATGGTCATTGTTTGTGATGACTGCACATGTTTAACTGCATGAAATAGGCTGTTGGGCAAAAGCAGAAAACAACCTCTGAAGACATGATCCTCTGAAGATGTGTATCAGTTTTCTGACATCGGACCAAATGACTTTAACTTCTGATAAGCCAAGAAGATATTGGAGAGAATTCCTTGTACCAGCATGCACATGTATTTCAGCAGTATTACCCTGATCCTGCAGTGGGATGTCCTAGCACAGATCCAAATTCCCACGAAGACTCCCACTGAAATAAAAAGGATTGGTGAACATAAAGGTCTACGCTAGCAGATCCCTTTGCAGGATCAGAGAACTATTGCTGCAAAACCAAATATGTATGGTAAAAATTTGGTTGTTAAGAATAAAGTTAAGATAAATGGAACAAATTACTGACTGTATTAGATAACTGAAGAAAAATGGACTGAATAGGTTGAACTAAATAAAAAACGGATCAACCACTGGTACAACTTTTCTACCAATAATATGTATACTTACTGTAGTCCATTACCTACTATATGCATCAGATCTGCTCTCTTCACTTATCTTGTACATCTGACATCCTCTCCTTTAAAGCTGATATAAGAAAATATCTATCATCAAAAGGCTCTTTTATCTTTTAAAAATGCAATGTCATGGCAATTTTATCCCAGTCACAAAATTTACCTATCCACGCTTCTGAGCTGCTGCTGCTGCTGCTGATGGTTAAAGTCTAGTTATTTACTTCTCCTGTCCAAAAAACACTATTTGTCTTCAAAGGATGGGCAAGTGGGATTTAGCAAGGCTACTTACAGCATAGCTTTTGCTTTTAGTAATAAAATGGTAATAATTAAAGCAACTTAATTAAGACTCTTCAGGCCACATTTTCCCCATCACTCATACTCTGAACTGGATACAGATGGAATAGTTAGAATTTCAGCTATTCCGCTACACCTCCACAATTTAAATGAAATATGTAAATAAGGCCCAAGTCCTGTAGTAACAGAGGGTCCTGTGGCACCTTTAAGACTAACAGAAGTATTGGGAGCATAAGCTTTCGTGGGTAAGAACCTCACTTCTTCAGATGCAAGACATCTGCATCTGAAGAAGTGAGGTTCTTACCCACGAAAGCTTATGCTCCCAATACTTCTGTTAGTCTTAAAGGTGCCACAGGACCCTCTGTTGCTTTTTACAGATTCAGACTAACACGGCTACCCCTCTGATACTTGAAGTCCTATAGTGATATTCATAAGGGTGGACCCCTGTGCCAGGACAGAGCCCCAGTGACTTCAATGTTTCCACCCAGGGATGTGCCCATGTGGATATCCTTACACAATCAGGAAGTACATAAATGGCTCATTACTGTATTCCTTAATTCTACAAAACCTTTGGTAGACTCTCCTGAATCCAAAATATCTATCTTTAATTTGTAATTGAAGACCATTTCATTGTATCTATCTTTGCTGCTACTGTGATACCAGATAGTGTTGCTAGTGTGTGTGTGTGTGAGAGAGAGATATCAGGGGATGCTTCTTTAAATAACTACAACAACATTGGAGCATTTTTTCAATAAATATGTATCTTTACTCACAGTATCATTCTCTCAGTCAAGGCCTACTCCTATTCCCATTAACATCAGTGACATCACTACTTTGATCTTTAGGGGAGCAAGATCAAGCCATGTACCTTTTCATTTACTACTGTGTATAATGAGAGGACTTACAATGCATTTGTCCATTCCTAAATTTGTTTTGGTTAATCCTATCCAAACACAAGTTCTAACTAATGCTACCCTCTGTTTGGTACTCTACAGTTGACACTCCAGATCCATATGTGGAGCTGTTCATCCCCTCAGCCCCTGACTGCAGAAAGAGAACGAAACACTTCAACAATAATGTGAACCCTGTGTGGAACGAGACCTTTGAGTTTATTTTGGACCCGAACCAGGAAAATGTTCTGGAGGTAAATCATGTACTGAGGTACAGCTAGAAATGGAAGTTGAGCAGTGTCAGGAGGGTTAAACAGCAAAACTTTGCACTTACACAACATCTGTTATCTGAGCATTTCAACGTTTTCTAAACATTAAGGTTTTGCCTTTTATACACAGCCCTGAGTAAGGGGTTGGTACATAAGTTGCACCATCCTAGGAGCAGCCTTGGGTGGCATTGTGACACTGATACTTCTGAGTCACAATTTCTTACCTGTTTGCTACTGAGACTAGTAATTTACTGTTCTCTACAGTAGCAGCAAGCTAGTATTTTATCCCTTCGTTGGCTCATCTACTTTGGCCAGCAAGTAGGTGGGGGTGGAACCAAGTCTCTGCCTATTCCCCTCTTCTCTCTGCCAGCTAGAGGAGGGAGTAAATGGGAGATTAGCTCCACTTACTTCTATATGCCTGTACCCAAGGTCTGAGGCCATGTCTACACTTACCGCGGATTGACGCTGCTGCGATTAATGCAGCGGGGGTCGATTTGGCAGGTCTCGTGAAGACCTGCTAAATTGACTGCAGAGCACTCTCAGGTCCACTTTGGTACTCCATCAGAATGAGAAGACTAAGGTAAGTCAATGGGAGAACGTCTCCCTTCAACACAGCACAGTGTAGACACTGCAGTAAGTTGACCTATGCTACGTTGACTCCAGCTACATTATTCACGTATCGGGAGTAGCATAACTTAGGTCGACTTAGCCCTGTAGTGTAGACAAGGCCTGAGTAACCACCTCTATGGAGCATAAGGGAGCTGTCACTCCTTTGTACAGGCATCTAGTCCAAATCACCATCAATCCCTAATTAAGCCTTTTGTACACACACTGTTATAATATTGTTAGTCTAACCATTTTAGTGTGTCAAGAGTTTACGGGTATATTTTCATTGCAGAGTTTACTCAGGCTCTTATTTGGTAACCTGTCCACTTTGCAGAGAGGGGACAGGCTAAACCAGTGGTTCTCAACCAGGGGTACTCAGAGGCCTTCCAGCGTTTACATCAACTCATCTAGATATATGCCTAGTTTTACAACAGGCTATACTAAAAAACACAAGCAAAGTCAGTATAAACTACAATTTCATACAGACAAGGACTTGTTTATATTGCTCTATATACTATATGCTGAAATGTAAATGCAATATTTATATTCCCATTAATTTATTTTATAATTATATGGTAAAAATGAGAAAGTAAACAATTTTCAGTAATAGTGTGCTATGACACAAAATCAGACTAAAAATACAAGAAAGTAAGTAAGTAGTTTTTAAGTGAGATGAAAGTCAAATCAGACTCCTGAAAGGGATTCACTAGTCTGGAAAGGTTGAGAGCCATTGGGCTCAACCACTCAAGTGCTGATAGTTTTCAATGTCTTCTTACAGTTTCTCCCCATGTGCTCTGAAGGACAGACAAGTTCTCCCACAATTCACTGGGAAAGGATCATAGAGAGGCCTATCTGCTTACTGCAGCACAAAGAACCAGGGTCTCTGATCCCTGAAGTCTTAGCAACACACATGGGTGAGGGCAGCATCAGTGAGAGAACACAGTAACTCATGTGTGGCTTTGTATTGTGGCTGCTCACACCTGGGCTAGTCTAGTCCAGCTGCTCACAGCTGGGTGCCCATCACCTTAGTTATATATGTAGAAAGAGGTACCCTAAGTGATTTGCCTGGGGGACACAACCTGGAAGTAGGAAATGTGAGAATAGAACTCAAAGTTCTAACTCCTAGTCCCCTGTTCTAGTCACCAGCTAGATGTCAGCACAAAGAATGGAATGAGTCACTTTTCTTCACAGGAAAGTATTTGTAGAAACAGCAAGAAAGGAAAAAAAGCAGAAGTTAGGTCCACCAGTGCTTCCCTCTCCTGCAATTACTGGAAATAGACTGTGATGCACCCACCCTACCAATGTGATATATGCCATCATGTGCCAGAAATGCCCCTCTGCCATGTACATTGGCCAATCTGGACAGTCGCTATGCAAAAGAATAAATGGACACAAATCAGACATCAAGAATTATAACATTCAAAAACCAGTAGGAGAACACGTCAATCTCCCTGGACACTCAATAAGACTTAAAAGTGGCAATTCTTCAACAAAAATCTTCAAAAACAGACTCCAATGAGAAAATGGAATTAATTTGCAAACTGGACACCATCAAATTAGGTCTGAATAAAGACTGGGAATGGATGGATCACTACAAAAATTAATTTCCCCCTGCTGATACTCACCTTCTTGTCAACTGTTTGAAATGGGCCACCTTGATTACATTGCCCTCATTAGCACTACAAAAGTGATTTTTCCTCCCTTGGTATTCACCCCTTCTTGTCAACTGTTGAAAATAGCTCACTTCCACCTTAATTGAATTGGCTTGTTAGACCCACCACTTGGTAAGGCAACTCCCATCTTTTCATGTGCTGTGTATTCATACCTGCCTACTGTATTTTCCACTCCATACATCTGATGAAGGGGGTTTTAGCCCACGAAAGCGTATGCCCAAATACATTTGTTAGTCTCTAAGGTGCCACAAGGACTACTCGTTGTTTTTGATGATACAGGCTAACATGGCTACCACTCTGAAACCCACCTGATGCTACTTCATGATCCCTCCTCAACCCTCTTGTTGTAAAGAGGAAGTAAATAATAATAAAGAAGCCCAAAACATCCTTGCCAATGTGTCCTATGCCCATGACATCAAGCTTGACAATCAGCTTCACCCCTTGTATGGGAGTAACGCTATCATTTTAGTTAAAACTATCATTATAACTGGGAATACAGTGAGAGACCTCATTGGTGATGAAGAAACTATCCACATTTTCCACCTTTTGTAAGGTAGATTATGACAGTTATCTGCCAGGGAAGAATTTCACATGTCTCCAAGCAGTTATACTACACATTGGTTTTTATAAGGTGCTGTCTAATTCAAATAGTATAGGAGTTAAGATACATATTCTCATTTTACTCTTGCATTATGTGTACAAAGGCCAAGTCTACCACAGCAGAAAGGAGAATCTATAATATCATGCATCTTACCAAGTAGCTACTGAAGGAGCATAGAAAGAAAGATGGGAAGCTAGTGTCACAACAAGAGCAGAGTTAAGATTCTTTGAATGACTTCAATGTGCATTTCACCTATTTGGTTTCTTTTAAGTTTAAGCTCATTTGTTTTGTTTTGTATTTATCCCATAAATTACTGACTCATTCTTTAACTCCATCTTAACAAGGTTTGTTTGACTCTCCTTTGGTTCCCCCCACCCCCATCTCAATTTAAATTTTTTTTAAAAGATGCATTGGAAGCAGGGAACAGGATGCCCTGCAGAGCTACACATTTTAAGGCAGTGGGAAGTGATAGAGCAGTGCTTTCTTCAGGAGAATCTGTCACGAGGGATCCTGGCAGAGTTCAGGGGCTCTGCATAGTCTCTAGCCTCTGTCAGTTCCCACTACTTACCTGACTCCATACTTTGATTTGGCTCCTTTTATTAGCTTTCCTTGTTTGTGGCTCATCTAAGATTCTCACAACCTGCTATGGGCTTTAGAAGGTGAACAGGAGCCATGGGCCTGATTCTCTGCATAAGGTCTACAATAGCTCCTGCAGTCTTTAAAAATCAGCTGAGTGAGAAACTGGGGATGGGGAACAGGAGTCAAAGTACAGCTAGTCTATCTGGTAATAGTGACATAATAGACAGAATCCTCTTAGATAGCATGGGTCAAATTCTGCTAACAGACTCTCAAACTTCACTGTGGTTGCATGAATGTGCTGAATATGGAATTTGCTCAATAAGATTTAAAAAGATAGCCATTACAGTTAGACTATTAAAAAACTAATGGCTTATCCAAAATGCCTTCCTCAAAGCAATAACATCTTTCTGTTCTGTTTGTATGTATTATAATGTCAGGAAGAAATTGGGTAGATAGCAAGCTATTTAATTCAGTGTGGTCTCAGTCATTTCTTACTGTGGTATGCTCTGAATTACTTACTTTTCGCTATTGTATGGTGTGACTAAGTGATTTCCTGCTATGGTAAGAATTCAGACAGTTCCTAAAACATAACTTGTAAATCATCTTTGATTTTGAGGTGTTGCTCACTCTTTTTTCCATCATGGTTTTATGTAGTCATTAAAAAGCATAATATTTTATGAGCTGGCATCTAGTGCAATATGGTATGAGTCGATTTCCAGTATAATGCAGCAGTAACCTATTTCCAAGATTATATAAGTATCCCTTTCCTGTAGCAGACCTACCAAGATATGTTATAAACAGGAATTCAGTGTGATTACTTAAACTAATGAAAGATTTTAGCTGGTTCCTGAGTCATATGATATATAAGGCCCTGAAAATTAGCACCACAGAGTCAGTGACACTACATAATAATGGTAAGTTGCATATTAGTTAGCAAAATATATAGTGGCCATGGTAAAGGTTTACTGTAATATAAATTCTCTAGACTACTAGAAATTGTGGCAAAGCTCTGACCTTGTCTCAGTGGGTGCTGCGCTTCCAGGCGGATTACGCTAGCCTCAGAAGCTCACTGTGACCCTCAACATAGCACTTCTCTCTCTACAGGCAAGAGTCACAGCTTACTGAGCCATTTTCATCATAAGCCAGCAAGGGAGGTGGGAAGTAGCAACCCTCCCTCGCACATTCTCTGTTGTCTCTCAGTCTCTGTGATTAATCATGGATGGGGGGAGCCTGGGCCTATCCTCTACTCCAGGCTCCAGCCCACGGACCCTAGTAGTAGCAGCTATTGGTAGCTGACTTTTTGAAACAGGATGAGTGCAAGTCCCTGAGTCACTTCCCCACAGCAGCCCCCACTTCCTCAACATCTACTTCACCCTTACCTCAGGGCCTCCTTCCTTGTGCCTGATAGGGTTCGTACTGCCCAGTTTCTCCAGCAGCACGGCTTCCTCCTACAGCTCCTGGCATGCATGCATGCCTAACTGACTAAATGGGAGGCTTTTAACTAGTTCCAGCCAGCCCTTGATTGG